GCAGGCTTTGCTGCTTCGTCCTCTGAGCTTGAAGAATCGGAACTTGAAGAGTCCTTTTTCTGAGCAGGAGCGACTTTTTTAGGTGCTTTCTTAGCTGGGGCTGCTTTAGCTGGAGCAGTTTTAGCAGCTGGTTTCTTTGCTTTATCCTCTGAACTTGAATCTGAGAAAAAGAAAGCAGTTTATTAGCACTTTCTGCAACAGAAAAACAAAAGTCTCCAAAAACTACTATTTGTGGTGATAATCTACAGAGAGGGCAGTACCAGAGCTGTCAGAACTGGATGAGTCCTTCTTAGCAGTAGCTTTGGGAGTCACCGTCTTAACTGGAGCTGCTGGGAGACACACAATTGGAAAGAAAAGAAAAAAGAAAAAAAAAAATCACACCTATATTTTATGACATTTTCATTATTAAACACCAACCAATCCCATTACAATTATATATAATCTACATTTTATATTACACTGCCTTTAGGAAAGTTAAAGTTTATTGATTAAAGTTAAATGATTTTCATTCAAACCAGAATTTTTTTTTTTTTTTTTTAATAGTTGCAATTAATTGGGGATTCTTTTGATTATTAATCCAAGTTTTAACCGGTTACATCGGCGATACATAACTTACATTTACTATATATTGATTGTAAGATAGTGCAACTAAACAGACTTACTTTGTGATAACTCCTTATCAATACAACATAATTCAGAAGGGGGCGAACGAAGCACGAGAGAATTAATTGAGTGACTGACTAACCAATGCAACCCAAGAAACAAGAATTAGACCAATAAACAAAACAACTGACAAAACTTATTGAGGAGGGAAAATAAAGCTCTCCGAGCTAATGGGGCAATGAGTTCACACAGTATATTCAAAAGATGTATTTGTACCATCAACTCTTATAACTGTCTGCAAACCATAGCTGTTTTGTGGAACACTTCTCATGACAAACACCTGACTGATCAGACAGTTTACCTGTGATTACGGAGTGCTTGATTTGATGCAGACCTGACAGAGTGTCAGTACTGCACCTGGTCATGTCTGAATGATCATGGAAGGTAAAATAATGATCACAACTATTACATCCTTTTAATAAAGCATCCCAAGCCCATGCCAGTAATATAAAAACAGCCCAAAGTAGCGAAAATACCATGTCCCAAATATACAAATGGTATTCCCCTCCCTAAAATACATATTTTACAGTCACTGTTATGCACATTTATCATAAACACAGCTCAAATGCTTCCTACTAGTGTGGCCCAAAACATTTAGCACAGTTTTATTACAGGTAGAATGCAAAACGTTTCAGACAAGCATTTCAACCAAATGTAATTTAAGCAATATTTTAAACTTTTAACCCACTGGGGAAAATCAACCCATGACAACAGTTTAAAAGCAGCCCAATTTCGTGGAAAAAAAACAACAACAACCCTGCATCCAACACGAGCTGCAGAAGTCAGATTTGACTAATCACGGGTCAAAAGTAAGGAGAGATAACTGACAAGATGTTGGAGGATTTGCTCCTCAACAGATCCCGAGCTCATTGACAAATATATTTTATCGTAATATGTGTTCCCTTTACACAGTGCGTGCGCGATTGCGAAATCGAAAGTGAACTGCGACTGCGAGCGCTCATTCAAAAGGGATTTAAATACCCCACATATTGACAGCAGCGCCCTGATGCGAAAAATGGTTTCTCTTACACCAATTTTTTTTTCAGTGTAGTTAAGGGCAATGATCTGACTGAACTCTGTGAAAAGCCACACCTTTTGCAATAATTCTTTTAAATGTGTTTATTATTGCTCAAAGAAAAGTCCTGCAGTAAAAGAATCGTTAAGGAACCTGACTCATTCAGTTGAATCTGAACTGAATTGTTGGGAATCGTGAATCCCCACTAGATGTTGGTTTATATCCTGTGGACTGACCTCTGCCTCCAGCATGGCCACCTTTTCCTCCAGCTCTCTGATCACTCTGTCTCTCTCCTGAATCACCATTCGCGAGTTCTGAAGCTAGACGACACAAGGATGGAAAGCTTGAGTTAGTAAGTGAACCTACCATGACAAAAGTTTGAATGAGAGTCAGCGTTTGTGTGTCATGCACATGTACCTGTTCAATCATTTGCCGTAGTTTTCTCTGTTGACTCTTGAGCATGTCATCCAAGTGATGAATCTTCTCTTTCAGAATTGCGTTTTCCTTTTCCACCTCTTCTAACCTGTTACATAATTAAGCAACATGTTTACAGCAACACCCAAATGATGCATAAAGTTAAAAAAGGCAACATAATGTGACAAAATCAGTAAGATTTATCTTGCCCCCTACCTCTCCCTCCCTGCATGGCCCTCCTCCCTCAGTTCGCGCAGCTGCAGGAGTTCGGCTTCTCTGGTCATGAGTTGGTCTCTGAGGGTGGAGCTCTCCTGCTAACCATAGCTGTTTTGTGGAACACTTCTCTTGACAAACACCTGACTGATCAGACGGTTTACCTGTGATTACAGAATGCTTGATTTGATGCAGACTTGACAAGAGTGTCAGTACTGCACCTGATCGTGTCTGAATGATCATGGAAGGTAAAATAATGATCACAACTATTACATCCTTTTAATAAAGCATCCCAAGCCCATGCCAGTAATATAAAAACAGCCCAAAGTAGCGAAAATACCATGTCCCAAATATACAAATGGTATTCCCCTCCCTAAAATACATATTTTACAGTCACTGTTATGCACATTTATCATAAACACAGCTCAAATGCTTCCTACTAGTGTGGCCCAAAACATTTAGCACAGTTTTATTACAGGTAGAATGCAAAACGTTTCAGTACAAGCATTTCAACCAAATGTAATTTAAGCAATATTTTAAACTTTTAACCCACTGGGGAAAATCAACCCATGGCAACAGTTTAAAAGCAGCCCAATTTTGTGGGAAAAAAAAACAACAACAACAACAACCCTGCATCCAACACGAACTGCAGAAGCCAGATTTGACAGATCACGGGTCAAAAGTAAGGAGAGATAACTGACAAGATGTTGGAGGATTTGCTCCTCAACAGATCCCGAGCTCATTGACAAATATATCTTTTATCGTAAGATGTGCTCCCTTTACACAGTGCGCGCGCGATCGCAAATGTAAGAAAAAAAAAATAAGAATTTTTTTAAAAAGCCCCACAAGATTCAAGTTACGGTCAAGGGATAATTTAAAAGTTTAATATTTTAGTTATGGGACCAAACATGCAAATTAACCTGTGCTTTAATCTTTGTACAATATACAGTGGGTATAGAAAACAATCACCCCCTTTAAAATAATCACATTTTGTTGCTCTGCAGCCTGAAATGAAGACGGACACAGTTTTTGTTTTATCCAGCTGTATTTACTCGGTGCAACTTATAACAACCAAGTGAAAGATATAACACAAACATTTCCGAAAAAAAGAAAAGAAAAAAAAACAGAATCACTAAGTTGGAAAAATGATCACACCCTCCTAAAAATGACTTGTAGCGAATCACCTTCTCAATTTGTATTTTTTTCGGAAATGTTGGTGTTTTTTCTTTCACTTGGATGTTATAAGTTGCACTGAGTAAATACAGCTGGATAAAACAAAAACGGTGTTCGTCTTCATTTCAGACTTACATTTTTCATGTATTAATTTATAATTGTTTATTGATTTATGTATTGTGCTGAAATCATGCTTTTTGTACGGTCCTTATACAAATAAAGTTAGTCATAAAATAGGATTAATTTTCTGTATTGAAATTATAATTTATAGCTCATTGATGAAAATGTGTAAAATTGAATTCTGTATTATATTACTATATCTATACTCTTACCAGGAGCTTTGACTGGAGCACGAGCTGTCAGTGTTCCCGGGGGTGAAACGGCATTGAATTGTCCTGTAAATAGAGATAATCTTCAATTCCATGTTTGTCTCCACTTTTTCAGAAACTCACTTTTGCCTCATAAGATTTCTTACCATGTTCAAATGAGGCATGCTTAGAACTTATACTCCCCCACCCAAAAACATAAATAAAAAGAGATCCCATGATCTGGTGAATAAAGCTTAATGCTGCACCCATGGTGATAGTTGTCAGTATAAAGTCTAAGATCACTGTACTGGTTGTTTGGGAAGACTGATAGATGCCAGCAAACCCCATTTCTTAATGCACCTTTAAGATCGACCAATGTGGAGAAAAAAAAATAAATTAGTAATACCAGTCTTTGGTTTCTTAGTAGGAGGGGCATCATCCTCATCGGAGGATGACTCCTCACTGCTGGACTCTGCAGGGGCCGCATGTTTAGCTGGAGGGGTCTTCACTGGGACTGGTGGTTTTACTGCTGTCTGTGAGAAAGTAAACAAATTAATTGATTTATTTTGTATTCTGAAATTTTTTTTTTTTTACAAAAATCAGGCTCTATTATGGTTACCATTTTCAGAATTTCAGAAAGATTTCAGAAAAAAATCAATTGATCAGACATCCTTTTTATATATTAAAATGTAATTTAACCATTAAAACAGAAAACAGTAACATAAAAACTGAAAACAAAGAATTTGGGAGAAAAAAAAAAACTAGATTTCTGAAGCATGATTATGTTGGACTTAATGTACCTTAACTGGAGCCTCATCCTCAGATTCACTAGAGCTGTCCTCGCTGCTGCTCCTGTCCTGTTTCTTCTGAGCTGCAGACACTGGAGTGGACGCTGGTTTGGGGGTCCCTGCCACAGGCTTGGCCTTTGCTCCTGGAGACCACAGATCACCGCTTTGAACATGTAACTTAGTTTGAGCACTTACACTTGAAGTACTACACAGTCGCTGTGCTTGAGAATTAGAACTCATGCTTCAGCTCACCTCTAGCTGGAGTTTTGGCCGGCTCCTCGTCAGAGTCGGACTCCTCGCTGCTGGAACTGGTGTCTTTCTTCCTGGCTGCTGCTGCAGGTTTCACAGCTGCAGGCTTCTGTGCACCAAATTAACAAGATCCAGATTCAGGAAGCGGCATCCTAGCACAGACATACCACACACACTCACGTAAACGGCATGCAGCTTCCTGACCTTTGCTGCTGTTTTAGCCTGAGCTTCGGCCTCCGAGTCGCTGGAGTCTTCAGAGCTGCTGCTCTTTTTAGCAACTACAGCTGCTGGCTTCTTTGGAGCAGGAGTTTTCGCTGTTAAATGAATAACATTTAGTTAAATACTTAATATTTAAGTTACATACTTAATGCAGTGTTGAAACACACTACTGTTTTTTTTTTAAGAAATTAATTCTTTTCAGGAAAGATGTGTTAAAGAACATTTTCAACATTGATATTAAGAAATGTTTCTTGAGCACCACATCAGCATATTAGAATGATTTCTGAAGGACCGTGTGACACTGAAGACTGGAGTAATGATGCTGAAAATTCAGCTTTGCATCACAGGAATAAACTACACTTTAATATATATTCAAATAGAAAACAGTTATGTTAACCTGTAAAAATACAACGCAATATTACTGATTTTATTGTATTTTTAATCAAGTAACTGCAACCTTGCTGCACAAAAAAACAGCTCTGTACCTTGTACGACTTTCTTGGCAGGTGCTGCAGCTTCCTCACTGCTGGAGTCCTCACTACTTGAACTCACCGCATCTCTCTTTGCTTTCTTGGCTGATGGGCCGTTGACCGCCGAAGGGCCACTGGTGACTGCTTTACGCTTTTTGGTTTCTGGGGACCTTGAGCGGGCAAATAATAGAAGTTACAAGGCAACAGTAGAAGTGACGACAAAACTACAAATACTACCGGACCAAGAGTGACCTACAGTTGCCACACAAGCAATTATAAGACACAGCTTGTACATACTTCACCCAAAAATTGAAGATGTCCAAGAGACTGTCCTCATTTTGATCTTGAGGTTTCTAATGAGATGAAACAGATACAATTGTAAATTAGTATAATATTGAATAAAACTCAAATATTGTAAAACTTAACTAAAACTTACACAAGTATAATAAGTACAACTAAAACGTATAAAAGTACAATTAGTAGTAGAAGCCCCAACTTTGTTCGCTTATTAGTGGCAGAGACGCTTTGAATCAAGACTTCTGTGGCTATATAACAGGTGTGTGAATCATTTATGTAGGTTAAATGTACATTTTTTGATTTTCTGTTCATTTTGATTACCCTTGGCCTGAAGTTCTCCCTTCCCACTTTTTTGTTTGTCATCTGTTATGTTGTATAATTGTATAACTCTTAATATAAAGACAACATACAGCACTCGACCTGTTGAAAAAAGCCTATCTTAAAAGAATCATGATGAATAATTAATTATGTACGGACAAGAACAGGTTAAATGTGTGAGAAAAGCTAAGCTGTAATGACGCAGGTCAAAATGACACAAAAACCGGCAGGAATGAAACGCACTTAAACACGCAGCTCATACACACGTGCTCCACACACACTGCGTGTTAATTCCCACGCGTGAGCATCAGTACAGACACAATGCAGGACTACAACTCCCACGCGCACGAGGGGTTCTAGTAAACACGCAAAAAAGGCTCTTACCACTTTAGCCTTCTTTAAAAACTCTTTCGCGGCTTTGGCGAACTTATTTTCCACGAGAAACGAGTACACATGCTGGAAGAGATCGTTGGGCACCGTACCGTCCTGCGCCATCTTCGTTGCCCGTGTGGAGGAGGAGGAGCGCGATTGGCTATTTCACCGTCACGTGGGTAGCTGAAAATGGCGCACAGTAAGTGCGTCACACTACTTACACGATCGCAGTACGTAGTTATAAATATTGTCGATTTTTTAAATCACCCCCCCATGTTTATAGTATTTAAGAATTATTTGAGACAAAAATCAAAAACTTTGTCAAAAACAAAAAATAAAAAAGCTGGAATCTTGTTAGATTTATTTGATAAATATAATTTATTATAATGTTTTTTTTTATCCCCTGTGTTTAATCTATATTTATTATTATAGATGGTTTAAAGAATGAATGTTCTTTGTTTAATGGTATTTGTTGTTCTTTTTTATTTTTTTTATTCTGTGTAAGTCTAAGCCCCTCTTAAAACTGTTGTCCTTGAATGTAAGTTGTATGCCAATTTGTTCTGTAAACTTGTAATTGTTTGTTATACTTAAAAAAAAAAAAATGTTTGATGAAGAACGCATTCTCTATAAAGAGCTGCTTCGTCGTTGACAAAAAAACCCCCGTAGTTATAAATACTTCAACAAACCAATTTTTCTTGTTTTTTAATGTAATTTTTTTTATCTTGTTTATGTATCTTAATACAGTTTCATAATCAAAAAATAAAAAAAATCAAGGAGAACGACTTTAATTTGTAATGATTTTAATTTATACAGTCTAATTGATGTATAAATGAACATCTATTATTTTTCTCTTTAGTTTTTCTTATTTCTCCATTGTTATATTTCTTACCAATCATCATTATTGTTGTTTTTTTCTTTCTTTTCTTAATTTTCTTTCCTATGTGTTCTGATGGCATTGATACACGTTGATACATTTTGTAGCCTATATTGTATACAAAGTGTTATGCCATTAATGTCATCTCTGTTCTGTTTATAAGCATAATAATAAAAAAGAAGTTATAAATACTTTAAAACATGGATTTGCCTGTCATCCAAAGCAGTTCTTTACTGTTGATAATGCAATACCCTCAGGTATAAAAATGTTACTAAGATGTTCCCTTTCTTACTCCAAAATTACTACAGTTCTTCCTTCATTATATGTTGGTGATATTGAAATAGAGAGCAAACTTTGCAATATCAAATACATAAGACAAATCATCATCCAGTCATGCTACCCCGGTCAAATATTAAGAAATAAATTAGATCATACATTTGATAAAAATACTGGTAAATATTTCAGAACAGCCTAATAAAAATCTCCCCAAAGTAAAAGAAACACACTTTAAAATACTAAATCACACATATACTTCCAATTAAGTTCTACATTTAAAATTTGATTTTTAAAATGTACCTTGTCGTCTATGTAAACATCTCTTTGAAGATACAGAAAATATATTTTTACATATTGTTCTGTTGTGTTGAGCCTTTCATGCCAGATTCTTTTTTTTTTTTTTTTATGCTAACTAATGCCATTTTATTGGATTCAGATTTTGTACTTAATAAAAAAAAAACACAGTTATAGATATTAATGCTGTTTATTTGCTGCCTGTTTGGCAAGTAAAAAGATCAATGTTACATTAAAAAAAAATACTTATTGAACCCGCTGTATATATTCTGCTTGTTATTTATCTTATTTTGTTTCTAATTTATCTAATATATATATATATATAGGCTACCTAAAAACCCTGATATTTAACATAATTTGACCATTTAGAATGCGTATCAAATATTGTTAACTATAAGGCCTATAAATGTTATAAATTTCAGTTTTGATATTGTTATGTGTTAACATATTAGCTTTAATTATTTTTTGTGCTTTATAATGTTTTAATTTTGTAATAATTGCTGCAAAGCCCCAATATTTCATTATGAACTCATATCCCATATCTTGTAACAACATAAACTATGTTTATTTTCCACGCGCAATAACGCAAGTAGCCAAGATTTTATATATATATATATATAAGATGGAGCACTACATCAACCTCCACATGTGTCTCCACAGGATCTCCTTGAAGAAGTCACGCATGCGCCTCAGGCTCTGTGCCAGCTTTCCAGCGAGAGCCGTTTATTTTTGATAAACTCTGTGGGCCGTCCGTTCAAACAGCATCGGGACATGCCGCGGTATGAACTGTGTGTGATCCTGAAGGCGATGCAGAGGCCGGAGACCGCGGCGGTGCTGCGGCGCACGGTGGAGACGCTGCTCGAGCGCGGCGCTCTGGTCAGGAGTCTGGAGAGCCTCGGCGAGCGCAGGCTGCCCTACAAGATCTCCAAACACGACTCTCGCCACACGCACGGCGGATACTTCTCCGTCGACTTCCACGCCTCGCCGAAGATCGTCAGCGAGCTGCTAGATCACCTGGAGCGGGACATTGACGTGCTGCGCCCCACAGTTTTAAAGAAAGACACGGAGCTTTCCAAGGCGCGGTGCTGTGGAGCACAAGCTGAGAAAGCAAAGAGTGCCACATCCAGATAAATGTGAGAATCCCATTGTTTCCCTGGTCTGTTTTTACTTTGAGGGTTGGGATAATGTGTTTAGAGAGGAAAAGGAGAAACTAAGTTAATGGATGAAATGCTCAAAATGAAGTAGTATTTGGATTTAATGGAGTTAATGTGATGAACGACACACCTATCCTAACTTGAGGGGAACTGAGTTCAAACATCACTGTATGATCATCACAAATCGGTTAAAGTCATTGCAAAAGTTAGTTCTAGGTCTAGCATTGTTTATTTTCAGGTGCTGCTTTGATATGCAATGAAATCTGCACTGAGGTGTTCAAATGCTTTTGGGCTCAAAGTCCCCAATTTGGTTGGAGTTTTTGTATATATATATATATTTTTAATAAGATGGTAGTTGTGCTGTCAATGTGCCATAAGTATATTCTTGTCTTTTTTCCCTAGGACTGTGAAGATGGGCTCATCTGCTGGATTATATGAACGGACTTTTGCAACAAGTTGAGCTAGTAAATGTCAGCATCCTTTTTATAGTTTATGCATCTACGGCAGCTAATTATGTGATGTGTGTTTCCACAAAGAACATGACCTCTTCGCAGGATCAGCATTTTTGGAGTATTTAATTTTAATATGACAAATTCTACTTCAATGATTGCATGCTCATAAATAAATAACATAAAAAAAAGTTGTTTATCTCAGTCTATGACAGTCATACTGTTCCACAAAAGCAACTTGCAAATAAAAAAAATATGATTGAAGTGTTGTAGAGGAAAGCTGTACCTTAATTGATTTATCTTCGGGAAATCAGGATACTGTAACACGCTGTTCTCACAACTAGAGTTCATTGTTAATAAAGTTCATAAACTTTTCCTTTTAGAGAACATAAAATAAAGTCTCCAGAGAAAATATAAAACGTGTCAGTTTACACATAAAAAGTGTTTAATCAATTCAAAGCCTAATTAAACAAGAAGAACAACATCTTCTTTTAAAGGGGTCATATGATGCGATTTCAAGTTTTCCTTTCTCTTTGGAGTGTTACAAGCGGATTGTGCATAGATAAGATCCCTGAAGTTGCAAAGACTAAAGTCTCAAAACCAAAGAGATATTCTTTATCAAAGATCTTTAAAAAAGCATCATATGACCCCTTTAAGATGTTTTTTTGTTTGTTTGTTTTTATATTGTCTTATCTTAAAAGAATCCCTTACTTTAATAGGTTAAAATTTAAGAGGTGTCCAAAAAAAAAAAAGTCTTCCATCTACAAATGTGTCATAAATTTGGATTTTAATGGTCAGGTTACATTTGACATACTAGACATATAGAATGCAACCATGTGACCGTTTTATAGTTTATTTCAGTATTATTATAATTATTTGGGCAAGCTGTACCTAGTCAAAATAATTTTAGATAAACGAAACAATATATTATTATGGAATAAAGTTAAACTCTGCAGTAGAATTATTGTTGCTGAAAACCTGATATAAATTTAGGAATGAACCACATGTAAACCAGTTCTATTATTAAGATATTATCTTCCCTTTTTCAAGTAATGCAAAACAGCAATAAATATCATCTTGGCGCTACTTTATTTCACTAAAGAATTCTATTTCACTAAAGAATTCTACACTTAAAAAAAAAAAAAAAATCTGTGACATTTACGGTAAAAAACCGGCAGCTGTGGTTGCCAGAACTTTACCGTAAAAAATATGGTAGCAACATTTTAGGCTTTACAGACTTAACTTAAATTCACAATAAAATACCGTATTTCATTAACTGATGTAATGTTAATAAACCAACATACTGAAGTGTTAATATCTGTTTTGAGCCATTGTAATGATTATCTGGGCAAGCTGTACCTAGTCAAAATAATTTTAGATAAACGAAACATTAATATATTATTATGGAATAAAGTTAAACTCTGCAGTAGAATTATTGTTGTTGAAAACCTGATATAAATTTAGGAATGAACCACATGTAAACCAGTTCTATTATTAAGATATTATCTTCCCTTTTTCAAGTAATGCAAAACAGTCCTCATAATAATTCCTCTGTACATGGGAACAAAGAAAGAGCAGAACACCCACACACACACACACAATTATTCTTGTTATTATTATTATAACTTATTTTATTAAGTAAAGAACACACAAAGAATAAATGTTAATAGTCAATGGTAGTTTAGTAATTATATCTATATATAATGGTATCTACATGTTACTCAAAGGTACTTCTAAGAATACCATGGTACAACCAGAGTGCATGTCCAAAAAACATGGTAATATGCAAATGGTAATTTTAATTATTAACACGCATTGAACTTTTGTGACAATAGCAGAGCAAGTTATGATGCCATGTGGACTAGTTGTTAACATGAATTTGGCACTAAAAATCCTAGACTTTTAAACATAAAAAAAAAACAATGCACAAAGAACAAAACAATTCATGAAATTGATTATGTTGACATGTTAACCCAAAAATCTATAGAAAATATGATTATAATTAAATATTAGTTGGAGGGGCAGAATTCACCAAAAATGATTCTAGTTCAGGTTTTTGAAACAGAAAACAAGCATTTGTATAATTTTGTATGTAATTGTATTAGTTGTATAAATAGGGGTTTTAACCCCAAACTCTATAGCTATTGTAGTTATATATAAAGGAAGATATAAACCACATCAATACTATGTAAAACTAAAAAAAAAAAAAAAATTACAAAGTTCAAACGATAAGAGCTTGATTGCGTTTTTCGACCCACACGAACAGCCTCAGTCTTGCGCGTGCGCATTGGCTGACAGTGAGATCAGCATAAGCCTCGTCGCGCTGCAGTATAAACACCGCCAACATCCAACAGACAAGATTCACAACACGACTCTGCGCTTCGAGAGAGACGGTTGCCGAAGTCAGGATGCTTCTCACGCTGCTTTTTATCTCCACGGGTAATATATACTGTTTTTTGACCTCCGCATTATTTTTGGTGCTTTCGTTATGAGAAGTGTGTCGTAGCTGCAGTTCATGGCCGAGGAAGTGTTTGGTAAACATGTCATGTCGGTTACTGACTGGCCCGCTTAAATGGAAATGTTATCTTTAAATACACAGCCTAACATAGTATTTATTCTAGTTTTTTTTTAACAGAATAAACTTCTATATTCATAGTGATGATGATAATATTTTCCCGATTTGTTCGTTAGCCATATGTCGCGTGTTGACGTGCTGTGCTAACAGGCTAAGTTAAGTGTTTTAAACAACAGCGTCCATAATAAGTCACGTTTTTAAAACATTTTCTTTAAAATGATTTATTTGAGCAGTCTTTCAGCCGGTATATAACGTTACACATGCTGCGCTGATATTTTTGACTGGTCAGTCTAAACTGACTGAAGTCTATTATAATCATTATCTGATGGGCAAATTGATTGTTTTCGTTTTAATGTATTTCCTAAACTCAAATTTATTTTGGATTTAGTGCGAATCGTGACGCATCACTTTTAACGTAACGTTCGTCTCGTGCTTGATCGATTTAGCTGATTTCATCAACTTTATCTCTTTCTCTGATATAGGTGTCTGAATGTTGACACAGTGACTGAAACCTGTTTTTCAGAGTTTGTCTGCCCAATACAGATATACCCAGGCTGTATTTTAACTCTGGCGTCTGATCAATTGAATTGCGTAATTTGTATCCAAGTTGCATAGTCCTTCAAAATAACGTCTCCTTTCGCTTCCAGGGATAAGATCCTTTGCTACTTGTGTAGTTTCCACATCCTCTTCTGTGTTCCTCTTTAGTATTTGCCATTACAGTCACAATTTCACTTCATCTTTTAGTCATAAGGATTGTTATTTTTGCAGAAGGTATTGCTCATGAAAGCATAGAGGTGGTCTTTCACACTGTGGTCTATATGTGAGGTCAGGCTCTCTCTCTCTCTCTCTCTCTTCAAATCCATTTTCAGTTCTATAAAGCAAAGCAGCTTTGCTCTGCCATGTTAATCGTCTCAATAACAGTTCTGTGTGGTAAATGTGATTGTGAAAGTCACAAAAGACACTTGAGTAACCTGTTACTGGTCACCTGGTTGTAGTATGTGGAAAATTAAAGAAGGTGATTGTTGAGTAGATGCTGCTTCCTTTTGCAGTGGCTATAATACAAATGAAATCTAGTAAATGGTAATGTGTTACTTTATTTAAAATGAGTCATGTGAAGTGTCAGCTCTTGGCAGGTTAAACGGATAAGAAATTAGTGCTGGGCGGTATGACCAAAAATTTATATCACGGTATTTTTCAAAATTATCCCGGTTTCACGGTACAAGACGGTATTTTTTTTTTCATGCATGACCGGGTGTTAACCATATTTTCTACTGATTGAGAGAGGAAATACTGCAGTATATTGACTTAGAATGCCCTATCAAAAAGCCGCTAAAAAAGCTGCTAAATCTCGTGCTAAAGTCGCGCTCGTGTGTGTGGGAGACGCGGGAGCTGATGGCAGGGGGCGCGGTATACCGTCCAGCACTATAAGAAATCATGACAAAGATGGTACTAAAAGAGGTCCATCTCTGTGTAATTGCTGACTTGACTAGGCCATCGCGTGACTTTGTGATCATTGTGGCAGTTCTATACATATCTAATCTATTTTCTCTTGTTTCTTGCTAGCTGTGGCGAGTCCCCTGTTGGGTACGGAGCAGTGTGCTCGCGGTCCCCCCTACTGGTGCCAGAACGTCAAGACTGCTTCCCTTTGTGGTGCCGTCCAACACTGCCAACAGAGTGTGTGGAACAAGCCTCAGATGGTGCGCTGACCTGATTCTCAGAAGTGCTTTTGTATGCCAGCGTATAATTCATGAGCTCTAAGTGTATAAAACCTCGTTTCTTCCAGAAATCTGTGCCATGTGATCTGTGCAAAGAGGTGTTAGTGGTGGTGGAGCAGCTTTTGAAGGACAACGCCACAGAGGTATGCTAACATGATGATAGCACTGGAGATTTGAGTACTGTTTATGCGAGGTCAAAGTCTAAATACTTGTGCTGAATCTAGGGCGAACTCCTTGGATACATGGAGAAAGCCTGTCAGCTGATCCCTGATGAGGGCATGGCTGACCAGTGCAAGGAGATTGTGGACAACTACTTCCCCGTTCTCATGGACATCATCCAAGGAGAGCTGGTGAGTACTTCCTTCCCTTCCCTTTTAACTAATTGAGGAACATAATTCCCCTTTTAGTTGGTGGTAGTTTGTGATCAAAACAGTGTTGAACACCCACCATGTACCAAACACAAGCTCTGGAGCAGAACGCCAAACATGCTGTTCCAAACTTAATGAACAGTTTGCAATGTTTCCAATCCAAAATTAATATTAAATGACTGTACATACTGTATGTATAGTTTTTTTTTTTTTTTAGTTCTCTAGTATTTCCTACTACAGGTGCGTATCAGTGGGCGGGGCTAAAGAGGCAGTACTGTAGAAGCAGGTGTTGATCTCCTCCTGCGGAGGCGGTGCTTATCCACACAATTATGTCATAAAGTGTTACATTCCAAAACGAGCCATTTTCTGATCTTGGTTTCAGTAAAAGCTGTTTTTAAACTAATGAGAGTTTTGAAACTTACAGGATATTTTTATAGTACATTTACCTGTTATATGTCAAAAGATCAAGGGAAATTTTATTTCTCAGTTCATGACCGCTTAAAAGCTTTAGGCCCAATCCCAATTCTATTTTATACCCCTTCCCCTACCCCTCCGACTACCCCTTCCCTTTCAAGGGGTAGGGGTGAAATTATTCCCCTAAGAATTGGGACACCGCTACTATGCCGTCACGCGTCATCATGCGTCGTCTAGCTCCTACAATACACACACCTATGCTGGTGTGTGCATTAGAGCCTTTAATTACCGTTCTATATTAATGCGGTGCTTACTAACACACAAATATCAGAGATCGCGCAGCTCACACACACACACACACACAAATATCAGAGATCGCGCAGCTCACACACACACACACACAGGAGCAAAGAAACTTGTCAACTCTGCCCCACGACTTTTATTAATAACAGTTTAAATACTGAATCACTACATTATATGTTCCAACAACAAGAGGATAAAATCGCTGTTTTTGAAGTAAACTCACTCTAAAAAGAGAAACGCGCACACACGCAACTTTCATCTCTCTCTCTCGAATTGGCAATATTTCAGAAAAGGGTTTAGCGATTTATAATTATTGGGGGTACTAGCCCTCCTCAATGTCTATGGTGGTTATTATCGCCCTGATCATACATGAAAAGAGCCTATGTTGTGGCACTATTGTGCAGTCAGTAATGATATGACGTTAGCAAACTTTAGCGATTTTTTTTTTCCAAACATTTCTTTGAGTAACATGACCGTAAATATGAACTCACGATTGAATGTAACATAAAACAAATGATTACTTTTCATTAAAATCTTTATTAATGCCAAAAATGCTTACATTTATGCGTCTTTTTGTTCGGTCGGGCAGCCATGTTGCCGCTGAAGCCGGTTTACGCTGAGATAATTCATACCCCTTCGTTTGAAGTGTGGTCCTGAAAAATCTTCGTTTGAAGGGCTATCTGGCCCTTACCCTTACCCCTACCCCTCCAACCAAAAGAGAATTCCTGAAAAACGTTTGAAGGGCTATCTGGCCCTTACCCTTCCCCCTACCCCTCCAACCAAAAGAGAATCGAGACACCCCTACCCCTCCGTTTCGCACGTTCATGGAAGGGCTAAGGGGTAGAATTGGGATTGGGCCTTAGTCTGACTAGTGCTGCTTAGACGGTTAGCTATCCACAAAGCAGTCTTTGTGTAATAGGCTCTTCCTTCCCATAGGACCTCATCTGTCATTCAAAGCATGTCACAGTCCTCTTTAAAGAACTGAAGCAGTGTATTCAGCTGCAGATCCGATTTGTGTTTACATCATGCTTTACAATGCTTCTGTGTTCCCTTCATCTCGCAGGATGACCCTGGTGTGGTGTGCAGTGCTATGGGCCTGTGTGTGTCCCAGCAGTCAGCTCTGGCTAAAGCTCAGCTCATGTCCAATGAGATCCCTCAAGTGGACCTGAACCAACGTGTCAACCCCTTCCTGCTCAACATCCCTCAGCTGCTCTACCCCCAAGAGAAAACCAAGGAGACCCCCAAACAGGTGAAGCTGTCACACACCTGTATGTTTTAATGAAAAAAGCCATGGAGACTCCAATTGTTCAACTTGATGAATGTTATTATAGTGTCACCTATTATATTTGTGTTGCTGATTAAAACATGCACAATTCATCTCATCCTGTATGTTTACTAACTGATTGGTGTTCTCTTCTGTCCGCAGACGGGTGGAGATGTGTGCCAGGACTGTGTTATGTTCATTTCGGACACTCAGGAGGAAGCCAAAGCCAATTCCTCATTTATCAACGCTCTACTCGCTCGGGTGGAGAGCCAGTGTGAGCTTCTGGGACCTGGCATGTCTGATATGGTGAGAACATGAGAGACAGGTTTACTGGGTTCGGTGCTCAAAGTAAAGATGCCATGCTTTGGTGTGCATTGCATGTGTGGGACATTTTTGGTGGTCTTATCTCTCATTTCTCATTTCACAGTGCAAGGAGTACATCAGCCAGTACGGACCACTGGTCTTTCAACAGCTTATGTCTATGGTAAGTGATTTTGATTCTTTCTTAAATGTCATTTGTGCCAGCATTTCAGCTGTTTCATTCATCTATCCTCCATTACCAAAATGGGTGCTTAAGTTCCCCTCCTCGTGGCACAACAAAGTTTTAAAAGGGTCATATGGGGAATCAAAATGTTAATGTACTGTATCATATTGTGTTATATAACTTTAAGAACTCAACTTCCTCCCTAGTTAAAGAAAGATAAAGGTGATTTTACACTTGTGAGCTTTGGAATGATGCCCATATAAAGACTTTAGCGGTGTGAGTTTGATGTTCAGAAATGTGGTCCACCCAGTCACTGAGGAGGAAGTAGAGTAAATATAGCTACCCTTTGGTTCTGGTATTTTGGAATAAAAGTGAGTAAGGATGAGGTGGTTAAAAACTATTGGGTTTGTGTTCAAGTCCACAACTAAAGATGCAGCTCAGCACTGTATCTCATTTCACATGCACAGAGGAGATTTGCATTAAAGACAGCAGCAAAAACATCCTGTTCAATGGGTCAACGAGAGGGTGGGAAATTATCTTTAACTGATTTGTGACTTCTGCATAAATGATTAACATTTATAAGTGGACCTCAGGGGAAAAACATTAAAATATGACCCCTTTAATATAGAGAGCTTGTTGCAAATTTTGTCAGTCAAGTGAACAAAGCTGCTTTTGTTCCCTTTCCTGTTAAGACACACTGCCTGTCTTCCAGCTTAAAGGGATGGTTCAGCCAAAAATGAAAATTCTGTCATTAATTCCTCACCCTCATGTCGTTCCAAACCCGTAAGACCTTCGTTCATCTTTGAAACACAAATTAAGATATTTTTTATGAAATCCGAGAGCTTTCTGACTGATAAGACAGCAACACAACTGTCACGTTCAAAGCACAGAAAGGTAAGTAAAGACATCGTTAAAATAGTCCATGTGACATCAGTGGTTCAAGCGTAATTTTATGAAGCTACGAGAATACTTTTTGTGCGCAAAGAAAACAAAAATAATATTCAACAATTTCTTCCCTCCCTCGTCAGACTTTGATGTGCATTCACAAGAGGGCCACGACACGTGGTACTCTCATGAATGTGCAGCAGAGACTGACACAAAAGAGAAGAATTGTCGAATAAAGTCGTTATTTTTGTTTTCTTTGCGCATAAAAAGTATTCTCGTAGCTTCATAAAATTACGGTTGAACCACTGCTCTCACATGGACTGTTTTACCAATGTCCTTACTACCTTTCTGTGCTTTGAACGTGACAGTTGTGTTGCTGTCTATGCAGCGTCAGAAAGCTCTCGGATTTCATCAAAAATATCTTAATTTTGTGTTCCAAAGGTGAAGGAAGGTCTTACTGCTTTGGAACGACGCGAGGGTGAGGAATTAATGACAGAATTTTCATTTTTGGGTGAACTATCCCTTTAATCCACAAATCTAATCACTTAAAACTTAAATTAGAAGTGTTGCCTTGGCAACCAACAGAAGCGGTTTAAGTTGAAGTACTAAAATTGCTAAAACTAAAAATGAAAAATCTAAATAGAAATATTTTCAAACAAAAACGAATACAAATTACAAAAGTCAATAAAAACGTAAACTAAAACAAATTCTTTATTCCCACCTTCATTTTCTTTCTCTCTTTATCTCCGTCTCTCCTCTTGTGGTTTTGTTTGCTCTGGTCTTCAGGAGCAGGTAGGTTTCTCTGAGCTGCTAGTCGCATTCTAGCTTGTGTCTTTTAATCTGTCTGTCATGTGGCTAATCACCTGTGCTGTTTTCTAATCTAACGCTGACCGTTGCTAATCTGTGCTGTTGTTAGACTAGCCACTCACCCACTTTTAAAATAGCCCTAACCCTGAGGTTTTCATGTTTGTGTAGATGTAGTACCAGACTAATCCTTTATCATAACCTCCATCACCCATAATATACTATATGGGTTGGAACTATGCAGTGTTGAGTGTAACGCGTTACTAAGTAACGCATTACTGTAATTAAATTACTTATCCACTGAAAAAGTAAAGTAAGGGATTACTGTTCATTTTGAGGTAATTTAATTACAGTTACTTATAAAGTACTTGCGTTACATACTGTAAATAATTTCAACAGTTCTAAAATCAATATTGAATTTGAAATCTAAATTTACAGTCTAAAGAGAATTTAATGCAGCGTCTTTAACCCTCTGCGCGCCGGCTGATTCACAGAGAAACCTTAAATACTCAGATAAGACTAAAATCAATCGAATCTAAAAAGGGCCTACTTTCATTTGTGTACACTGACAATAACAACAAAACATTGTGCTTTTGTAAAATAAACAAAACAAACGGTGCGCTTTCCGCCGTCTCGGTCTCCGTGAGCAACTTTCTATGCATCACAAACTCAGCGAATACTTGACACAGAGACATGAGAAATATGTCTATAGAAAGCTTGAAGTGTCTACTTTTAAATGAACGAATTCAAATCGAAAACGAATATTATCTGATTATGTAATCCGTATGAAACTAAAGCGAGGTACAGTCTCTCCCGTATCTGAGCTCATTATATGCAGTCACCTGCACGCAAACGCCCTCACCTAGATACAAAAAATTGATAAAAAAATAGATTTTCATCATTTTTGAAAGAAGACCTGCTATGAAGAATAAGCTGGAATTTACCTCAGAAGAACAGCGTGATCTGACGCGGCTTTATTCAGCAGAGGAGATCATTTTATCATTTATTCTTACCTACATTAGTTAACGTGTTATTTTTACATAAACCTGTACAGATTTTACTAGTTGGGCTTTTCCTGAACATCTTGCTAAACTGAAATGTATTTAACTTTTCTTAAGATTTTTTGTTGTTCAGATATTTTGCTGAGTATTTCTATTTGTTAACCAAAGAAGGTTAAACATTTTTTTTATAAAGTATTACAGTTGTTTTAAAGCTAAAAGGCTAAACTATTCTATGTTTGACTCAAATTGAAAGAATAAAGAGTTTAATTTCTATTGTCTATGCTTTAATGTTTATAGGGATTTTAAGAGGTAGCATAATTAGCGATTTGAATAATTAAGTTACTTATTGAGTAACTAAATTACTTTTCGGACATAGTAATTAGTAATTTAAATACAATATTGATGATGTAATAGTAATTAATTACTTTTTGAAAGTAACTTACCCAACACTGGAACTATGTACTGGTTTTTATTCAGTAACCAGCCTCATTCAACAACAAAATAACAAGGGGGTATTTAAGAAAGCAGGGTTAAACCTGCTGTCTCACAAACCCCAAACTCTTGGTTGATTTAACCCAAACTGTTCTTACTGGTAAAAATGGCTGGGAGTAAGTTCACTCAGCTCACTCAACTTCCAGGAACACACAAAGACATTGCAACAGAGTGACAAATCCTGGAGTAACCTGGAAATGGATGCTAAGCACGCCATACTAAAATGGCGATTTAGATTTTTTTAAAAATGTTTATTAGTGTGAAAAAGTTGATTAATAATAATGGTGCTTAATAATAATAGTAAAACTGGAGTCTCATCAATAGGGTTAAACTGCTGTGGCTACTTAACTTGAAAGTTACCTCAGTTTCTGGAACCAGAATTTGTGGTTATACTTTTACTTATCCGCAAACTTGTTGCGTATGTTGCATAACCAGCTTTCTAGAATTGATATATATTTATATATCCATGCTATTTTGGTTCTGTCTGCATTCTTCCCAAGACTGATAGAATTCCCTTGACATCCCTTCTGAATTGAGCTGGTTCTTCTGAATTCCCTTGACATTAGGGAATGTCAAACAGTGTTTCCTGAACACCATTCAGTAGCAAGTAAAAAAAAAACACTACTTTCCATTGTGTTCTCTTGCTGCTCTCACAGAACAAAACATTGTGTGATCAGTGTGTTTGTACTGTAAACAAAGTACTCTTGAGCTGGTTCTTCCGAATTAATGGGTCAAAAGACTCACTTTATGGGTTTGAATCGGTCTTTAATTGACTCCCTCCAATAGAATTTTAGGTTTGTGTCCAAGTACTCCAAGAATCATTAAGGAACCGATTAATCATTATTTGGAATTGGAACAAAATCTTTAACCTCCATCCCTGATATTCAAACACATTTTCATTTGAACATGTGGTTGTTATAAAGTGTTGAATTGGATAAGTTGGTCTATTAATTGAACCACTAGCTTTTGCCGTTCATCAGATCATACTTGCACTTCTTGTGCTTGCATGCATGGCAGCCGTCAGACTGGCAGGGTGATATGGGATACTGTGGGACTGAGGTGGAGCAGCATCATGGGTAATCAGTTAGTCAGAGAGGGGTTATACATTGGATGCTGCATGGCGTCATCCAGGAAGATGGTGCATGATTGTATTAGTCAGTGCATGTCTGAAATTCTGCTCATCCTGTCTCTCTTGTGTATTTGGTGACGTGTTACTGAATGTGTCCTTGCCTCCTCCAATCCCTCTGTAGCAAGCCAAGGACATCTGCTCTCGTGCTGGATTCTGCCCCCCTCAGAACAAGTCTGTGCGCATGGAGAAGCTGATGCCTGCCAAATCAATCCCTGCTGTCAAGATGTTCCCTGCAGCCAAACTTGAAACGCCTGTCAAAACCAAGCCTGCTAAGGTACAATAGCATATAACTTCTGTTGTTTTCATCTGGATTATGAATCTGTGAATTTGGTAGTTGAACATTTTTTGAGCATTTAAAACCGCTTTATATGTTTACATGTCACTGGTTCAAGAAAACTGATTTTTTTTTTTTTACTTTCAACCTCTGTTTTGACAATGTAAATTAATCTAATGACTCAACTGTTGTCAGCTGTTATGGGCTGTAATTAACATTCACATTCAAATTAAACTCGAGTTGAGAAGGTGTGTAAAAATGCTGGATGTTTCCTTCATGCACGTGTGTCTGTTTTGATAGAATCTGGTGCAAATACGCGACAGTCCTCAGTGTGCCATCTGTGAGTTTGTGATGAAGGAAGTTGAGGAAATGATTCAGCATCACACATCTGAGGTATGAAGCCACATGTCAAATAACCGATTCTCCATTGATTGTCAGTGTTCACAAACTGTAATGACCAGTAGAATCGGTAGAAATATGTGCAGATTTCCATAAACGATTAGATATTAAGATTGATTGAAGCCAGCGAGACAAACATAGCAGCAGGTGGGACTGATGGAAAAAGGCCTTCTCCATTCAGAGAAGAGAAAGCAGATAAATATGAAAGGATAAGCGCATACATCCTGGTGTTTCCAGTCAGCAAACAATAGCCTGCATTGGATTTTCTTTTTATTTGTGATGCGATTCACTCAAACTATAATATTCATCATCAATATGCAGTGCAGAAATGGCTTCACATTATGAAATACTTGTTAAAAACAATCCGTATTTCAATATGTATGGTTCCGATAGTAAGTTCTGATTGGATGAGCCACATTGTGTTAGTGTTTTTTTTCGCTGTCAGTTTTTTCTGGAGAACTTGATGTGAATTTGCATCCTTATAAATTTCCTGTTAATGGTGTGCCGACACTGTTGTGGTTTTTTTAGGAAGAGATTGTGCAGGCTGTGGAGAAAGTCTGCAACATTTTACCCTCCACACTCGCGGCTCAGTGCAAGGACCTGATTGAGACCTACGGCCAGGCCATCATTGAACTGCTCATGCAGGAGGCTGATCCCAAAACCATCTGCTCTTTCCTCGCACTCTGCAATGGGGTCAGCCATGTCTGTAAGTGCTGATAATACATTTGTTTTCAGTAAAATATTCCCTTTGTTTCTCTTTTTTTTTTTTTTTTTTTTTTATGGTGGAAGATTATTTAGTTGGCTAGAGCAGTGCTGATTGGGGAGAACGGAGGTGC